CTAAAGAATGCTTTCAGCACCTTGTCGAATCAATGCCACGTAGAATTAAGGCAGTTCTGAAGGCGAAAGGGGGTCAAACACCGTATTAGTATGGTATTCCTAATAATCCTTTAGGTGAGTGTATAAAGGCTGAGATAAACTCTGGCCAGGGCGCCACACGCTAATTTAGAGACACCAATTAACCTAACTGCATATCTGGACTGGGGGAAGAAATGTGCATGACAAAGGGAGAACATTAAAGACCTCTATCCTGGAGGTGTGGATGGACTGGCTGGCTCTGCTTTTTCTTTTGCTTTGGATAAAAGCACCGGTTAAGTCAATAAATGTGATGTAATCTATAAGTTAGACTCAAGTACTACTGCTAGTTAAATAAATGGTCTGACATACATTGTAGCTGGTAGTGGTAGGACATGAAAGTGGCAGACAAAGAGCATTACCTCTGAAAACCATGAGAGAAGGGCCCAGTGTGAAGGTGTTCAGTACTTCATTTAAACTGAAAAGAACAAAGAAAATGGCTTTAGTATCCTTCGCAGTCAGCACAGCTATGTGCATTGTTACTGAGAAAACACAGTCTTCCTAGGGGTTTGTTTATTTTGTTTACTGTTGTAATTTGCTATGTCCTCTGTTGGGTGATGAGGCCTGCGGTCTCGATGATCCTGGATTGGTATCCAAGTGCACTGACTTGCCTGGGCTCTGGGACAGAGGGCTGGGAAACAGTGGGCCAAAATTACTGCTCTGTGGCCAGGGCAACATGATTAATCTTACCGTGAAACGGGTCTTATTTTTAAAAACCACAGTCGTAAACTATTTGTATTTAAAAATTACAAATGATATGAAATACAAGTTGTTATAGGTGACAGGTTTGATGCTCAGTTTCCTATCCAAATTAAATATGACCTTGTTTATAAATGTACTGCCAGCCATGTTCTCCCACGCTCTTCTTCTTACCCAGTAGAGGGTCCCCCTATTCATCTTCCCTAAATCTTCAAACTTTTATTTTGCATCACATTTTCACTGGAATCATGTTCCCAAAATAATACCCCCTCCCCACTTCAGGAGCAGGCCTGGAGGTGCTCAGACAAAGCTACAGAAGTAAGAACCTATTTTTGGATAGGCTATCTGCATTCACTAATCTGGGGGTAGGGGGGGGGTGTCAGATTGACAGGACATGTGTGGCTGACAAGGGTGGTCCATGCCCCCCCAGCCAGAAGACATTCCCCTGCGTAAGCAGCCTTTCTGGCCAGGGCTGCTATCTCTATTTTAACCCCCCCTCGCTTGCACCTTCACAGACCCCTCGCTCGATCTGTGCGTGAATGTGGGTGCGGGAGTGCTCAAGCATATGTGTCCGCCCAGGTTACCAGAGCGCGAGGGAAGCTCGTGAGTGTTGCGGCTCTGTGGCAAAGGAGCTACAGAATTCTCTGGAAAACAGAGAGCTGGCCTCAGACATGGCTCAGCGCTGCTGAGGGTCCCCACAAGCAAGCAACCAGAGAGGGACGGTGATACAGCTGGACGATGGTGGTGGAGGAAGTCATGATCACCCTGTCAGGGGGGGCACCATGGGGCTTCAGGCTCCAAGGTGGTGCTGAACAGAAGAAACCACTACAGGTGGCAAAGGTAAGAGACCAGGGGGACAAGCAGGCATGTAGGGAGCATGTCAAGTGGGCTGTATGCTGACAAGGTGTTTGACTTGCTTTTTGGCATGAAAGGGGCATAGAAACATGTAAGATAAATGGACATTTAATGCCAGATGGTGTTAAAATGCAATCTGAGACCATTTGAGGACTTCTGAAAGAGTTTAAGATAGTCTGAAGAAGTTAGTCGCCACGCCACTCTAAATGCAGTCATTCTGCCATTTATATGTGAAAGGTGTATATATCATTATTTAATTGTTTTTTACTTTTTATTGTAAGGAAATCAGACTCACTTAAGATTTCAACCCCATGTGTGAATACTCATGGATATCATCTGTGTATAAGGATCTCTTTACACATACACAGTCAAGGTTCAGAGCTTCTAAGTGTTGTTTTTATGTCCTACTGACTTCACAAGTATGTTTCTAATATGACACTGCTGGGATGAAGTGCTGAGTCCAGGTCTAAGTTTGGATTTAAAGGGGTCGCCTTCTCTCTTTGACCTGGAATCCAGTTCCAGTCTGAAGCACCCATGTGAAGCTTTTGCTCTCTAGGTCGTTGAATATCATCTGCATATATGTATCATTGAAAATGAATGGGCCAGGGCTGGAATTACCATTCATTGTATTAATGTGTTTTGGCATGTAATGTAAGGTTGTTACATTACTAAAATAAATTAAATAAGGGAGATGCATAAGTGTGAAGTCTCAGTTTTCTAGTGAGTGTCACATTTTTGGTGAATTTTGCTAGATCATGGCTGCGAGAGGTAAATCTCATGGGTTGTCATGTGTCTGAACCAAACAAATCACAGTGCAGAAATCACAGGAGAAGTAATTGCAAGTTTTAATGTTGCCACCCCAAGTTGACAATTACAGTATTACCCTTGTAATCACAGCAAGTTTAAGGGGACCCCAATTTTTTTGATGACTCACTGTTTTCAAATTTTACAGGTTTACTGTCACCTATCTCACTGTTTTCACTGCAGCTAGGTTGACATATACACTATATGAACAAAGATATTGGGATACCTGGTCATTATAGCTACAGGAACTTTTATCACATCCCATTATATATCCATAGGCATCAATATGGAGTTGGGCCCCAATTGCAGCTAAAACAGCTGCCACTCTTCTGGGAAGGCTTTCCACAAGATTTTGCAGTGTGTCTGTGGGAAGTTTTGCCCATTCATTCAGAAGAGCATTTGTGAGGCCAGGCACTGATGTTGGTTGTGAAGGCCTGGCTCACAGTCTCCATTCTAAATCATCCCAAAGGTGTTCGATGGAGAATAAATCAGGGCTCTGTGTGGGCCAGTATAGTTCTTCCACACCAAACTCACCCAACCATGTTTTTATGGACCTTCTTTTGTGCACTGGGACACAGTCATGCACTATTCACCTCAGCACTCAGCGACCCCACTCAGTTACTGTACGTCTTCTACTTTGTTGCTGAGTTTCTGTTGTTCCTAAATGATTCCACTTTGCAATAATACCACTGACAATTGACCATTTGATTTGTCACTCCACAGAACACATTTCCACTGTTCCAGAGAATAATGGCGGCATGCTTTACACCACTCCATCCGACGCTTGGCATTGCGCTTGGTGAGGCTTGCATGCAGCTGCTCAGCCATGGAAGACAATTCCATGAAGCTCCCAGTGCACAGTTTTTTTGCTGGGGTTAAGTTTGGAACTTTTCAGTTATGTAGTTGAACAGAGCATTGACGACTTTCATGCAATATGCGTTTCAGCACTCAGCGACCCCACTCTGCTACTGTATGTGGTATGCTACTTCATTGCTGAGTTTCTGTTGTTCCTAAACGCTTCCACTTTGCAATAATACTACTGACAGTTGACCGTGGAATATCTAGCATGGAAGACATTTTATGAATTGACTTATTCCAAAGATGGCATCCCATGGCAGTACCATGCTTGAATTCACTGAGCTCTTCAGAATGACCCATTCTTTCACAAATGTTTGTAAACCTGACTGCATGGTTAGGTGCTTGATTTTATACACCTGTGGCAATGGGTCTGAATGAAACACCTGGATTCACTGATTAGGAGGTATGTCCCAATACTTTTGTCTATACAGTGTATGAGCATGACCTGAGTATGATGTGGTCTGGTGATACTTAAACATGTCACGGAATTCATGTCACTTTAAAGTTTGTTCAAAAGTCCTGACCCTGGTGTTTTCAAAAAACAAAGAAAGAGAACTTCCCAGCAGAATGGCTCAGGTCTTCATCTCTGGTACTTTCTTAGCTTTCCTCATTAACCGATTATTTCAATAGTTTCCTCTCATAACCCCTCTGTATGTGGGTCACATGGTTGCCAGTTTGTTTTTGTGTGTGATGAACACACAGACAGAATTTCTTTAGCATCAGCTGTGAGAAACACATTTTTTCCTGCTAATGAAACAGTGACTCTGGGTGGCTGGACAGGACTGATGCATCTTGAAGGTCACAGCTCAGCCTGTTGATATCTGGGGTCCCTAAAGTGCCTCTGATTCCTCCTCTAACACTTAAAAGCCCCTCCAGGTCTTATCAGTTGCTCATGTGAAGCACTGTTCTTGTCTTTCCAGACATGTAGTCATTGTTGAACCTCGTTACTGATATGACGACGGGGCATGGTGCAGGCAGGAACAAGGTGGATGTTCCACTTGCAGTTCAGAGACTAACTTGGGTAATGAACAAAGGCTGGCACTTTCATAAACTGATTAAGACTAACTAAGGGCATGTGTGAACAACAAAACCATAGAACAGCATCACACAGGTGAAATAACTTACATTTAACAAGAACATGAACCAGGGAACCTAACAACCACTAAGGCTTAACAACACTAGGGGAGACTAGGAACATATATAAGCAAAACCAAAATCAAACAGACCATGAACAGGGCAAACCTAGGAGAGAAAAACTAAGAAAAGAAAATTTAACAAAACATTGGGGAACAGAAAAGCAAAATCAAATGAAACAGATGAGGTTGGTTTGCAGCCAGTCTCAAACCTATGACAGGAGGGTTATAGCTTCTGTGCCACACACTCAACCCACTGATCCATGAGGCAATCCAGGGACCAGAGAAAACACACAAGGGTCTAGCAGAGGAGGGAACAGGATGGCCAGCAACACCTGCTGGCCAAAGGAGGAAGAGACATGAAGGGCAAGAACAGACAGGTACAGACCCTGACAGTTACACATGAATCATCTGTTCCTTAATACATCTGCCAATTTAGCATGCTGTCAAATAACTCTGGGCCAGTTTAGGTTTAAATTAGTGCTGTCAAACGATTAAAATTTTTAATCAGATTAATCACAGGGTTGCTGTGGATTAATTTCGATTAATCACGATTAAATATCATTCATTTTTTAATCTATATTAATCACATTTAATTTTGCATGAGCAAACAGATTCAAGAAAAAAGTGAATATATATGCACTTAACATGTTTATTGAACATCTTGAACATGAGTCGGATGCATTCCATCTGCCACAGAAGTGCAATACCATGGACCTCAGTTGCCAAGGTACCTCAGTTTAAATGGTCTTTATCTTCGTTCGCTTACAATTAGCACAAACTACCATAAATCCAACAAATAATCCAACTAATTATGAAGTCCAATTCTAGCCCGGTTAATTGCCATTGTTAGCAATATCAGTTGATAACACATTACGTGCGGTGCTTTACATATAAAACTCCGTAGCAACACATCCACAGATAAGTTGGACGGTATAGCGTGTGCGACCGATTTAATGAGCCACAAATGAGAAGTAGTGCTTAAACAGTATAAAACTACAACTTTCCCTTCTGTTGATAAAGGGCGCAGCCATCTTGGATTCTGAACTCGAGATGATTCAGGGATTTTGAATCATTCTGCGCTGCAGATGGGTTAATTGTGTTAAAGATTTTAATCAGATTAATCATGATGATGGATTAATCCACGTAAACCTGTTAATTTTGACAGCCCTAGTTTAAATATTTTATTGCAATGATACTTTACCAGTGGCTTCATAACTGTTGCAATATGTTTCAAAAATGTCAGCTGTGTTGTTCATTTTAAAATGAATTTGAAAGGGTTATGGAAAGTTTTTGGGTCACCTTGAAGAGTGGCATGGTCCTACAGATGTTTGTGATGGTGAAGCAGGGGTGTGTGTGTGAAAGGTCTTTTACTTCACTTTCTGCATTGTTATCACATCAACTATGCCTTGACCTTGTGAGGTACATTGTTTTCATGGGGGGAATGTTCAGAGAGCTGAACCAAACAAGGTCTTGATGTTATCTTTGAGACCTGGATTAGGCAGGCAGGTTCTGCATTCAGTGCATCCGCTACAGCCAAAAACATTATAGGACCAGAGCATTTAAGTGCTGGTGATGAGTATTGAAATTGATTTAGGAATTTCACATGAACAGTTTAGCTTTCCATGATCATACCATATTATGGAGCTCATTTATCTAATACTTATCTAAAGTGACTTACAGTTGAGGGAAAGTTGTGTGTACTCCCTGGGATTTGAACCCATGATCTTTGCATTATTAGCAAAATGCTGTACTTGTTTAGCTACAGGACTTCAACAAATAGAGTAATTGATGAATGGTCAGAGCTCTATCATATGGTGTCCCACTCAGAATGTGGGCATATGGGCCAGTCCAGTATCCTTGCATGTGGGGCTGTCGTGACTCGAGACTGACATATCAGCCACTTTCATGCCCATGAGCTATCCCTGAACTTGTGCCAAGTAAACGACATTCCTCAGTGGGTTTTCTGAGGTATTTGTCCCACCTTGGATACATGTGACATTCACTCAGTCTTTTCTTGTGGGTTCATCTCCTAGTCTTTTTTTCTCCTTTCTTATGTGCAACCTCTGATATTTGATTTATTACATATTATAGGCATACTGTTGATTAGTATTTTCTGGAAATAATGCAGTTGGAAGTAACTGAAACAAAGTTCTATTGTGATTAGTGATTTGTAACAGAATTAGGGTG